AAAGATACAAATAAAACCACAGAACAAATTTCAGTGGAACAGTGCAATCACAATTTCCAAATACTTTCTGTCAAAGACAATCAAAAGAGTTTCTATTTACATGATCTGCTTAAAAAAAAAAAAAAAAAAAAAGTAAGTCAATCAGGCTTCTTTATGCTGGTAGCGGTATTACATCGATTCACAAGAGAAAGTGGAAGGTTGTAGCTAATATTTACAAACCGAGGTGTCAATTTCTGCTCAATTTCTGAGGAGAGATCTACCAAAGATATAGAACTTGGGATAAAATTTAATTGCTTCTAGATTGCGATAATCAAAATTGCAGTTCCATGGAAGCCCAGTGCCCATATCTAGCCCAAATTATCCAAGTAATAGAGCAGCCTTCCTTTCACCTCACAGTTCCAAGACGACTTAGGAGTTGCAACTCCACACACATCCCTCAAAGTCTCCCTCATAACGCCACGCACAGTTCACAACAAAACCCAATTCAGATGTAAAGCAACTTCACCCCTTTATTTAACAATTGATTACAAAATATTGTTCTAATATCTGTTAAAAAATTATCTACCAAATGAATCTTTTTACTTTAATTAGCAAAGCATCATCTCTGCTTATCAGATAATAATTCCAACTGCAAACCAAAGGCAATTTGCAACTAAAAATGTTATATATACACAAAATCATTACCTTGATTCTGTGAATATGCAAACAGTTCATAATAGAAGTGTAATTAAGTTTTACTTGCATCCAGCCTGCTTAGCATGTAAGTAGAAACTGGGTTTTTTTCCACTTCAAGTGGGACAAGAGCACCACATCCAATAACTGTCCCTTATCTACTTTCAACTGGTTTGATCATGGAAGAGGTATATGCTAATCTACTGATACACCTAATAGCTAATGAAAAAAAAATAAATAATCAGGAAAGTAGGAAGTGACAATGTTAATATTAAAGGCAGCATATTCCTGTAATTGGAAGAACCTCTAAATGCCACCCAACCCCTTTGCCTTAGTATATACACTAGGTACATTAAATAGAATACACTTGTTAATGCATTTTAAAAATTTACCACTACATCTGTATAATTACACAACTGAAGACTAGATCTTACAGATGAGGAGTTTGTTGATTTAAAGACTGAAGGACTAGAGACAATCTGTTCCTGAAGAGTATAATAATCACTGGGACTTTCGAAAGGATTCAGGATTGTGACTCGTCCTGGAGTTTCTGGTGTTATCTGCATTTTAGCTTCTTTTGTGTCAGCCATAGCACTAAGCTATACCTGGAAAAGAGAGAGGGAGAGAAAAAACAAAGGGGGGAAAAAAAAAAAAGGCAGTTATAATTTTTACTTTTTAGGGTCATCCTGAAGGTTTTGGGAAAAGAAGATCAATCCCTTTCAAGGGGTGAGAAACAGAAGAGTAACAAAGCCAAAGTTAGCTTTGGCTTGGGCCTACTGACATGGAAAGAGCTGATAAATAAGGCTGATACGAACGAAAGCTAAGAGGAAATAGAACCTACAGATATGAGACAAGAAAGAACATTGAAAAGGAGATCTAAAGACAACAAAACACCAAACAAACAAACAAAAAAAACACACCTCAGCAAAAAAAAGAAAACGGTGATGAAGCCAAATATATATTTCTGAAGGGCAGCTCACAAATCAAACGCTTGACACCCAAGGGCTTCGGAAACAGACACTAGTGGAGCGTGGCACAGGGACCATCTCCCCGGGTGCCGCGGACACAGGGAGAAACGGAAGGCCACAACGGCCAGAGGGAGCTGCCGGCAAGCCTGCCGTTGCCCACACCCCTAACCCCAGAAGCTTCTGGTTGCAGGCAGCCCCCTGCCTTCCCCGGGCGGCGGGAAGCAGCCGTGCCGGCCGCTGAGAAGGCCCACAGTGCTGCTCCCCCCACCTCTACCTACGGGCCGCGGCCGGCCCCAGCCCCCGAGAGGCTCCGAGAGACGCCGCCGCTCCCTCCCGCAACATAAGCCGGGGACAAAAGGCCGGCGGACCTACCGTACCCCCCTCAAGCCGCATCCCGGCGGCTCCCTCACCTGAGACGGGAGCCCCAGGGAGATACCCCCGCTCGGCCTAGGGCTCAGCTCCTCGTTCCCCCACAGGAGCAGCCCCCTTCTCCCTCTTCCCCCCCCAAGGCGGCGTCACCGAGCCGCTCTCCCGACGCGAGGAGGCCGAGGCCGGCGCAGCAGCTACCTGCCACGGTCACCGGGCCAGGGTCACCGGGCCGCCGCTGCCGGGGCGCCCGCTCATGCTCCCCTCAGATCACAGCTCCCGCCTCCGCCGCGCCGGGCGGCTCTTTAACTAGCCCCGCCTTC